GCGTTAGCGTGGCTATCGAGCAAGTTTTATCCGAATTATAGAGTATTTCCTCACTGAAAGAAGAGCAGAACACTGCTCTGGAGGCTTTTCTCAGAGGAAAATATGTTTTTGCTCTTCTCCCGACTGGTTTCGGCAAGAGTAGCCTGGCTTGTGGTTGTGTTTTTGTCATCTCTCTGTTACTACGTCATATACTTCGTTGATCTGATTGGTTTATTATTCCCGTCTATCACCAACATAGGCCAATCAGCTTACCAGTATTTTCGCCCCTTCCCAAAATTACTTCAACGGAAGGTTTCCAGATGGATATGCAGAGCAAATCCATCTGGCGGAGTCAGGTTACTAAATAGAGGGGGTTCATGCATTATTCAAAGATGAATCCTTTCATGACCCAGATCCAGCATCAGAAGAACCTTACCTAGGCTAAGGGCAGAAAAAAAGAAAAAAAAAAAAAAAAAAGAGCTGAAGAGCTGCTCAGTGGTACAAAGTACTTTTTAAAAAAAAATATGAAATAACATTGGCTTTTTATTTGTAAATCAAGGTCCCAGAGTTAGAATTTAGAGGAAGATGGGAGAGTATCAACTTTGTCTCATATTTACATTAGCATTATATGTAGACCAATATTATAAATAGTTTAACATAGACTTAGATGGATTTATTTTCTCATTCTGTATTAACAAATGTAAACAAAGAGAAATTTCGTTGAAAACAGCCCTAGACAATTTAAATTTTTGTGCAGCCTTGAAAAACAGTAATAAATACATTTTTAAAACTAGTAATATAACCATATGACTGTATATTTACAGTTCTAATATTATTTTTTTTTGTACAAGTACAGTCAGTTTTTGTACGGTCTGTCTGTCCATTCGCCAATCAGCAAATTAAACATCTATTTTCCCCTTCTAATTTTGTTTTAAAACGTGTTTGTTTAATTATTATTTTATCCTTTGTAATCTAATTGCCAAAATCCCCCAAAAATCATTTAATTTATCAGAATTTATCCAAGTGTATCCTTATTTTCATTCCGAACTGATTACCAAATTAGTCTGAAATCAAATAATTATTTATTTTCTTATTTCTGTAATTGCAAAATTTGTAACGTTTTACCTTCTACCACCCAATGGTGGCGTCATGTCGCTCTAACATGAAACAGGAAAAAAAAAAGGCCTCTTTTAAATTAAAGGCATTGACAATGATGTCAAATAAATCGCCGGAGATGTTTAATGCGCATGCGTATTAAACAGCAATCTGCAGGAGCTTCCGGTATGAACAGAAAGATGACGTAGCCGTCCTCTCCTAGAAGATTTCCTTGGCAACATGGAGACAAAGGCCTGCCCCTTTTTCATGAGGATTTCTCCGCGGCCAGCGTTACTTTACGTGTAATCAAGATTACTAAATCGGATTACGATACTTTTATTGTATTTTAGCTCGTGGTTTTTGGCAGAAGTTGCGTGTGAAATGGATGGGTTTCAGCAAGAGACCTGCGGGGAAACTAAATCGGCCATTACCAGCTGGCGTTATCGCCACCATTTCACGTACAAGGCTGATCAGGGTAAAAATATAATCGTCCAATGTAATCTGTGCCTGCCGAGGGTTAATCTGCTGTCCACGTCGAAAACCTCCACGTCAAATCTAAAGAAGCATTTAGACGTAAGTCAGAGTGAAGCAGTGGGAATGGGAAGACCTGCAGTTCAGTTTGTGTTAATGTTTAAATATCGAGTCAATGAATGAACAGCTCCCCTGATGACATTACACATGATCCAATCATGGCGCCGCAGACTCCTCTAAGGAAATAAGTGGCTTTGTTGAAGAATTATATCATCTTTGCAGTTTTTTTTTTCTAAGTTGCACAAAGTTAGAAAACAGCCACCCTGAAAACATATAAAAATTTTTCATCTTTTCCCACAGAGAACACACCTGGGCTGTGAGGCAAGGCCGGATGCAAAGAGAGGAAGGATAAAGGAGGAGTACAACGGTGAGGAAAGCAGACACTGTCAGCTTAAAAAACTCAAAGCGGAGATCATCTCAAAATGTCTGACGCAGTCCAAGATCGATGACCTCATCTTCAGCTTTATTGTGGAGGATTGTCAGTCTTTCTATGTGCTGGACCAGCCTGGTTTTCAGAAACTGATCAGCGGTTTGACAGAGGGGCTAAAGGTCATGGACAGGGTGAGCCTGTTCGCTAGAGTGGACTATGGCCTTTCCAGAATGCGAGAGGACCTGCTTGCCAAGCTCAGAGGCGTCCAGTATGTATGCACCACGGCGGACATCTGGACAGCTAACGACAGGAGCTTCTTTGGCATGACGTGCCACTGGATCGACGCAGTGACTCTGGAAAGGAAGTCCGCTGCCCTGGGGTTCCCACGGTTGCAGGATATAATCACGTATGACTCCCTCGCTGGGCGGATACACGACACCCATGTATCTTACAACATAGAAAGTAAAGTCCAGACCACGGTCACAGACAACGCCAGCCCTTTTGTCAGCGTCTTCAAAGAGTTTGTTGGGGACAGTCAGGAGAGGGACGATGATTTTGGGGTCTTTGAGAATGTGGGCTCCATACTTGAGGGTGAGCCAGAGCAGGACATGCTGTTGTTCTTACCCCCTGTGCAGCGCTGTGCATCACACATCTTGGAGCAGATAGTCGCTGAGGACTTTTGGCAGGCCATCTCACAGGGGCCCATGTGTCAGCTGCATTACAGCTCAATGACCAAGGTGTTCTCAATATGGAGCAAATGCCACCACCTTCAGGTCGGGATGAATGTAGCCGAGGAAATTGGAAAGATGGCGCTGGTCGTCCCGGCTGTTATTCGTTGGAACGTGGAGTACTGCGCCGTGCAGAAGATCATCTCTCTCAGTGAGCGGGAGCTGACGGAGCTCTGTGCCCGTCTGGAGGTCCCACGCCTGCAGCCGGAGGAATCGGCTTTCCTGAAAGAATACGTAACCGTTTTCCACCCTCTTGCGTTTGCCCTCGAACTTTTCCAGGCTGAGCAGAAATGTTACCTTGGTCTCGTCATCCCAACCGTCTTGAGCTTGAAGAACAAGCTGAACGAGCAGAAGGAAGCGGCCAACTACTTCAGCGAAGTCATCAACAGCATCGTCATGGCGATCGATGTTCGATTTCAGGAAGTTTTCTCCAGCACAGAGGCAAGGATCGCCACGGCAACGACCCCTCAGTTCCGTCTGTGGTGGATGCCGGCCTCAGAGAAGGATGAGATGTGCTCCCTTCTCACCACCGAGGCTTCGGAGGTGGACCCATGCAACGTAGACGAAACCAACACCAGCCACAACCCATCCACCATAGAATCGGAGGACGACTTCTTCAGCTACGGGTCTCCCAAGACCTCCACCCAAATCCAGCAGCGAGGAGTGAAGGAAGAGATCCGCAAGTATGTTGAGGGAACAGGGAAGAGCCTCGAGTGTCTGCAGGAATTCCCCAGAGTAAAGCAACTTTTTCTTAAATACAACACCCCTCTGCCTTCGACGGCCCCCGTCCAGCGCCTCTTCAGCCAGAAGAGCAACCTCATGACCTCACAAAGAAACTTTCTTACGGATGACTACTTTGAACGCATCCAGCTTTTACGATACAACAGTAACATCTGTCCTTTGATAACAGAATGACTTTTTCCCCACAGCCTTTCAAGTCATACAGTTAAACCCTAATACGCTAAGTCATCGTTAAATATTATGAATATCTTATATAAGGCACTTTAAGCCAGATGTATTTTTACATGTTTCCATTTCTTCCTGTTTTTATATATCAAGCATAAAAGAGACCAACGATCATCATAACACCATTGGTTCCAACAGTTAGGGAACAAATAAAAGTCAAATTTCTCTTTCATTTTTTTGCCATCCCTCCCCTAAGTTCACATGTTGGATGTTGAGGCTGAATGTCTGTTCAAATTTGAGAATAAAACTGATTTGGCTGTTCAAACTTTTATTTTATTTTTTTGCATAAGGTAAAATGTCTTTAGTACTTGTACAATACCAGGCTATACTCAAGTGACAATAAAAAGAAAGGGGGCATATTTCCTCAAATAATTACAAAGTAGAAAAACTAATACAGTTAGATTTGAATTCATTTTAAATTCATTTTTTTAAATGAGCAACAGCCTGCTAGGAAGTGAAGAAGAGAGGGAAAAAAATACTCTAGATGAAGAAAACATTTGTGCTAATCAGGCGTGGTCTTTTAACTACTCTCGTTATGAGAAAAATGGTTAAATGTGCAGTCTGTGGGCAGAGGTGTCATGTAAAGTACAAATACTTTGTTACCTTAAGTAGAAATTTCAGCTATCTTCACTTTACTGCAGTCATTTTTTTTTTTTTTTATTCTACTCATTACATTTTTTTTGCAATCATCTCTACTTTCTACTCCTTACACTTTAAAAACAAACTCATTAGTTTTGTTTCATTTAAGCCAATTGTTCTTGTGGCCTGTTTGTATTTAAAGAAAAATAAAAACCATCAAAATAATTTGTTTAATCCAGACAATTAATTTTGTTGTGGTTGGACTCGGTTCTGCGCCAACTTGTTCACCACATACCAAAATAAATACGTTTTCAAGAGGATGCAAAGTTAAATTTGACACTTTTACCATTAGTTATAAAACTAAGAAAATTAAGTTTAAGGAAGTCACCATCCAGAATTGTAGGAAAATCTTTAATAGGGTGGTACAGTAGCCAGTCTAAGGTTCAAAGCAGCTTTCCTTATCATTTATCCTGCATTACTTTTATACTTTAAGTACTATTAAAATGGTACTTTCACACTTTTACTTGAGTAAAAAGGTTAAGTTGATACTCTCACTTCTACAAAAGTGTTTTTAAATAGAAAGATTTATACTTTTTCTTGAGTAATAAACATTAACACTTTTGACACCTCTGTCTGTGGATCCATCAAACCTGGACTCAAGGTTTGGCAATATTCTTCCACAGTAGATGGCAGTAGCGAGACTACTGACAGCTTAAGCATCAGAATAAAAAAGTCTTAAAGTATGAAGACAAAATAAAAAAAATCAAAAGACAGGGGAGCCAAAGAATAAGGTGAAAATAAAGGTAAAAGCACAACAGACACCAGAGGCTGCAGACTCACCTCGTGCCTCTGTTAGGGCAGCCATGCAGATGCATATTGGTTTGTTAGCAGAAGGACTTGAACATGTAAAGAAATGTTTACCAAAGGTGCGCCTCATGCCAAGGGACAGTTCATTAAACTTTGGCAATGATCCAGAACATGTACGAGTTTAAGCTAAAATCACAATATGGGTCTAAATGTGCTGATGGTGGAGGCCTGCATTCTCTGAGTGCTTTTCTACTTTCATATCAGATCAACATCTTGCAGACTCACCTGCACCTGCAGGATGAGAATTGAAATAGGCTTAAACTCCATCATAAATATTAACAGATGTTGTTTTGTGTTCTATTCCAACATTAAATGATATTTTACTATTCTACAATAGTGCTTTAATTTGTTGTTTTTTATTTTATGTTTATAACCCGAGGGAGGTAGGTGTGTTTTTTGACATTAAAAAAAATCAGTGAATTACTCACAGGGGTGAATACAAACTGTAGTAAACACGTAGGTTTATTGTGAAGAAGTTTGAAAACTATTAAAATAAAAGTGTTAGATAAGCTGAAACATTAAGTGCTAAAATTACCCACATTATCGTCCACTTCTGCTCCTCCTTAATGGCTTAATGAGAACATTTGGATTGACAATCATTACATTCAGTACGAATGAAAACAAAAAGCATCTGTATTTGTGTCATTTTTGCTCATTTAGAATAGCCTTAAAAAGATGAAAATACATAACAATTTTGGTTATGTTACTTTTTTCTAAAGCTGTTCAGTTAAAATGCATATTTCCTGTGTGTTTTATATCATCTATAATAAAAAAAAAAGTGAATAAAATATTAGTATGTCTTTGTGCACCTTTTGTTATCAAAAAAGGTTATAAAATCAACTAATAATTACTGTGAGTGTCATGTGACAAAAACAGGCAGAAAGAACACATGGGAGGTGGTTTAATAATTATATCCATGACGGATTGTACATACACCCCCATTTATAGCTGGTGCAATATAAGTTAATCGCCAGATAATAATGTTCTGATGGGATATTTGAGCTCTATTCTTGACAGAGATTTCCCAGATTTCTAATTGAGAAGAATAAACTATATTTGCATTTTTCATACTCCCTGTCCATTAGTCTACATTCTATGTCGCAACATCTGTCTTTTATCCATCAAGTCTTCACTTCCTTCCTTGAGTCCCATCTCTTTTGAGATGGGACTCAAGGAAGGAAGTGAGGACCTCGCTCCGTATCTTCTACCTCCTTTGTTGGTGTCTTTTTGTTGTCATTCCTTCCTTTGTCTTACTGTCCATTATTCATTTGTTTAGATGCTTTCTTCTTCCTATCATCTTGTCCTACTCCCTTGTATCCTGTTTTGTCCTTTTCTACTATCACTCCTTATTAAACTTTTTTTCCCCCATCCTCCTCCTTTTAAATGATAAATTCTCCTTCATCCTTGCCTCCTTATTTCCTTACTTTTCCTTTGTGCTTTTCTTCTACCCTTTATTTCTTTAATTCTCTCTTTCCATCCCTATCTTGTGCCCTATTTTCTTTTTGGTCCTCATGTTCTCTGTTGTGGGTTTTGTATCTAAAGGCGTCCTATTGTAGAAATATATATAAATTTACAGGGAATTTTGGTTTAGCATTTTAAAAATGAAAAATTTGTAGACAAAATATTTGTGTTCCATAGAAAAACTGTTTAGGAACCCGAGGCTTTGGTTTAAAAAGGCTGTCGGAGAAACTTAAAGTTGAACTGCTTTGGCAGCATCATGTTGTGCTACCAACTGTATGTGCACAATAGCCAAACATTAAAACGGTATCCAATAGCAACTCAGACAAGCATGAGTATTGAATTGAGGGTCGAGGCCACATTTGCCTACAGAAACGTCCCCTTTATAAATTTACTTCATCAGTTTTTCCAAGACTGATCACATGTTCAGTCAAAATCCCCCAAGAACATTTTGAATTTCTGAAAGATTCTGGTTGAGAGACCTTAAATATACTTGTAGTGATGTATTTGACTTTAAATGTCTCATGCTAGTTAAATTTATTTACAGGCATAAAACATGTAATACATAAAGCTGAAACTTAATGACTATTGTGGTCATGGTGCTTATATGGTCATTCCTGTAAATCCATTAATAGCACATGATGATAAAATAGGTGTCTCAATTCATAAGATATTTAAACACCCAACAGCAAAAAAAACTCCACTGCTGCAGAGTCTCAAGCGTATTCTAAGCCACACGCCCAGATGTCAGCTAAGAGCTTTCGTCTTGTCAGACAGCTGCCTGGAGACCAACGGGAGCCTGTCAGAGAATACAAACCGAATTGAGCGCAGGCCGGGCACAGAAGGAAACTGTCAGAAACACAACTCTGGGGAGAATGCCAACCCATTCCACAGAGAGAATGAGAAATCATAGGATAAGGTTGATTCTTTCAGCATTACTGTGTGTATGAATGTTAAGGTATGCAAATTCTGAAGAGGTTTTTGACAGTTTGCCTATAGCAACCACAGAGGATTATACAGACCTAGCTGTGGCCTGCCGAGAAACTTCACGGCTAACAGAGTTGGGATTTGACTGCACACATCAGATAAGAAGCAAACAGAAGAGAACTTGTGGCGAAAAATAAAATTTTCTACACCACAGGTTTAATGCTTAAGAAAATAAATCTTGGTCCACAGGGTTAGAAAAAAAAATTAAGTTTTTCCTTGTTCTAAAAAAATTGTAAGTTTTATGTTTTTGAGCTGGAAGTTTCTGTTACCGTTCAAGGTAACAAATATAAACTGTTTAACGTCACCGATTTAGTTTTTTGTTTAGCTTTTGCATTCAACATTTTTAAGCATCATTAATGAAATTCAACTAATAATAATGAACCATCGTTTTCTGACTGGATTTTATTTTAGCCTGAATTATTAAACCCTGCTCTTTTTCAAAATCGCCATGCACAGAATTCATCCCTCTCTACATCACTAGATCTTAAATTAAGTGCAGTATTTATGTCCCTAAGTCATAACATATGTTTAGACTATTCTATTGGAGTCATTTAACATTTTTCACTAAGAGGATAAGCCAAGGTCCCCAACAAAGATGTTGGCTATTATGCAATATCCAAGCAGAATAATTTAAAGTTGATTGAAAGAGCATGGGCTGTGGCCAAATCTGGAAACATTTCAGGCTTTTACAGGACAGAAGTTACCACCGTTCGAATCATTGAGTTAAGCAAATCCCAAAACACAAACAGGAAATATTTCAACCTGCTCTAAAGAAGACTAGAACGGGGTTCAGTGGTCCAAATAGATTTCCTTAGAGTATACTTTGCATTTAAACTGCATTTATTTTAGGGAATCCTTGTACCACAGCCTTACGGGAAGATTAGACTCACAAAGAATTGACAAATGGAAAGTTTCCACAGTGACCCTAACCCTTTAATTTATGAACACTTCATGCTTCCTTCTAAAAAGCTTTTTCAGCAGCCCTTGCCACCTGTCAATCAAGCTAAAAAAGCCCACATATAGTTTAATGCTGAGTCTGATTGACCAGCAAACATACCTGAACTAGCTCTACACCACGCTAATGCTAGCCTGATGTAGTCCGACTCAATTCTAGTCAGAACTTCCCCAAACTCAAACCTTGTGGGCGGGACTAAGTTCGGACTGGCACCCAGGCTACGCTAATGCACCCATCCCTGCAAGAAAAGGCCCCTAAAGTAGTGTACAGAAGACCGCTTATAGGAATTTACTGAATTACGAAAGTTTAACAAATGTTTAAGAAAATCTAACTGAAAATACATTAGAGAGGCTAGTGGGTCACTGTTTAGTGTTTCCTTACCTTTTACTTCACTCACTGATTGTTTTTCAGCGGAACAGGATCATAAAGTGGATAAAATTGTCAACATTTAGCACAGTTTTTATAGACATATATTAATAAAACAATACAAATCCAAGTTTAAACCTTTTAATGTTTTAAGAAAAAACTGATGGTATAAAGTATTACTTGTGAAAAGACCCGTACCACCCCATACCACACATAGAACTAGATCATGTTAGGCACAAAGTTGAAGGGTTAACATGGTTTATTCTGTGTTTTTTCCTATAACTTCCCTTAGTAAATTCCCAGTAATCCGTCACCAAGCACACGTCTATGTAATCCTCTTTTTCTTTCCCCCCTATTTCATAAAAGCAGCATGGCAGAAATAAATACTTTTGTCTGTCAGTACAGAGTTAAACTACAATAAGGTGGGGAAGAATTAGAAGGAGTTCAAGACATAGCTGAGATCATTTTTTTATCCTAATGCCCCGTCTGTCACCCTGCATCTGACAGTCCTGGTCACTTTAGGAGGACCTTAGCAGGGCCAAAGTGAACTAGGTTCTCGCAGGACTTGATCCAGCGTTGAACGTTAGTAGCAGCCGAGGACGCGGAGCCTGTCTGCATCACACAGCAGTAGCAAGCGATGTCAGCCAGGGAGAACTCTGGTCCCGACAGCCAGGGGCCACGACCCAGAGCGGAGTTGAGGGCCCGCAGGACAGCAGCTCTCTCTTTAGTGCTGCCGTCTGCCAGCTGGAAGAAAGCAGTGTCCACCCAGCCGTCCACCAACGTGGCCAGAACAGGGTCACTGGGATAGGGTGCAAGCAGCTTGAAGAGGAAGCGTGCCACGTTGGCCTCACCCTCAATGGGACACATGTTACGGACGCTGAACTTCATTTCCAGTTTGGGAACTGCAAACAAGCAAGAGAAAAATATAAAAGTACAATTCAATAAATCTGATCACCAACAAGAAGTTTATTAATATCAATAAACTAATTTAAAAAAAAGAAGAGAAAAACGTAGACCAGGGGTGGCCAAATACATTCCGACAGCAGTTCAAAGAGCACATTTTTAACAAATAAAATATGACAAAAACCTTCAAAGTTATATTTATTTCATAACCGATTCTTTAATAAAAAAGCTTAATGTAGAAAATTTCTTCAGGATCCTGACTGAGTTCAGTGCTTCTTCCTCGTCTTCAGACCAAGCTGTAGATTTGAACTCTAAAAATGTGACAGTGATAGGCATGACGAACAGACAAGTTTATTTATTTCTTAAACAATACACAGATCCCTCCATTTTGGTTAACATGTTCTCTGCTCCTCTCTGCTTTCTTTTAACCTTGTCCTCCCTTGCATTTACTTGAGTAGCTTTATAAACAAAATTTACTTTTAAGATAGTTTTACTACGCTTTTACTGCAACTCTGAAATCGTTCAGATGAAATAACTGCAAACGAGCTGAGCGTCTTTGCTAGAAAAAGGCGGAATGGAGGAAGTGTGTTGAGATTGGAAAATATTTCTCAAAATAAAATTCTCCATAAAGAGCAGCTAACCTTTGCCGCCCGTCACCAGACTGCTTTCACAGAGTGATATAATACAAGAGTTATAACTGAAGAAGAGAGTCGACTTAATTAAAGTCCCAAATTCAGTTTCTTAGGAAATTTGGATACTAAATGAACACAGTAAAAAATATTTTTTCATATTGAAAGGGTTATCAAGTGGAAAGTCTATTAGGGCTGGAGCAAATGATTATTTTGCAAATCCATTAATCTGTCAATTATTTTTTGTAATTTATAATTGGATAGCCAAACTTTTTACGCAATTAAACATGGTGAAAATCAAACTTTTCCACTTGAGGAGCTCTGGACAGAGCATATTGACAGACAATTTTCTTTTAGCTTAAATGCAAAATGTTTACATATTTTTTTCTACAATCTTGGTATAATGACTGCTCTAAGTGGGTTGCTCGGTCACAGTCTCTATACTCCAGTTAACAATTAATCGATTACTAAATTAGTTGATAATTATTTCAACATTCGATTTATCAGGGTTAATCCAATTAATTGTTTCAGCCCTTAAATCCATATCCATGATTTCGCAGCATCAGTGGGGCACAGCATGGAGCCAATAGGTCTGTAGCTCCCTATAAAGGGTTAATGAACCCCACTGTACAAAACCTACCCACCTTTTTTAACCGCACTTTTTCCTTTCGCTCAGTGTTTCATTAAAATGCTCAGACAAAGCTCAGCCTTTTTAACAATGCCCCTTGCTATTTGACCCTTTATATGAAAAACATCCTCAACTGCCTGCTGGATGAATGAAGTCATCAATCTTCAAATCTTCCGTAATACCACCATTATCTGAGAAACCAAATTTGGTTTTTATCAACAATAACCATTAAAATAAGCTGTGATATGATACTTAAAACATATCAATTAGGAATTACTGTAGTCTGAACTGATGTACTGCACAAAATGTACTTTTGAGGATAGATTAAGTAAGTAAAATGCACAGTAATCAAGTCAGATTCTGCTTCTAACAGTTTGAAATAAAAACCCCAACAGCAGTTTCATAAATCTGAACCTAACCAAACATTACAGGCTATAAAAACTATGTGAAATCACATTAAATATTCTGTTTTTCCCTCATTCTGCTGCTTTCAGGTAGCCTTGTTCCTGATAATTACAACCATCGATCAAACACGGCTCCGCCTCTGAAAAGCAGCTGAACACCTACTTCAAAGCTCATGTCTTTTTGTTTCTTGTAATTACTTTGACCTGTTTAATAGCATGGTAATTAGGTTTTATAATAATATCGGACAAGCCGTGCAGCAATCTGCCCACATGCTTTCAGAAGAAATTACATCCAAATTTAACAGAGTCGCTGTGTAATAAGCCTGCACTGTTCAGCAGAGACGTGTGGTATGGTAACACTTTTTAGAGGACACTTTGTACATTATTGTAGAATTGGAGTGACTTCAAAAAAATATTTAAAACCTTTAGATGCTTTCATAAGATCCAATACCACCCATAATTTTAACGCATAGTAGATGGACTGTGTAAAAATAAAGAAGCAAGTAAATAAACTTCCATGCATGAATAACGTTTGATATAAAACTGCACTGTGGCTTTTTCTTGACACCATTTAAAAAAGGGTCAGATCTGAGAAGTAGGCATATTTAATTGTCCTGTCAATAGATTCTCCAATCTAGGCTGTAGATGGCTGCAGCTCCTCCATACCCTACACCTCCAAGCTGCCTCTTTGTGTAGTATTCTTCTTGCCCAACCTGTGAGCAGAACACTCATGCCTTGGTAGGTTAGGTCTAGATGGTCAAAGCCCATGATACCATTTTAAAACCAACCTTTCTTTTAATTTTTATCTCTTAGTTTTATTCGCGAGGTGCATTTCTAGTCTTACGATGCTTTTCACTGATGTTCTTTATCAGACCTATGAGGTCTTCACAGAACATATATGCGGGTTTAAATCCCTCAGAATTAAGGCTGGACTTTGAGAATCGATCAGAACCGGTTCTAACATTTCAATTCCCCCCTAAATCTTTGAAATCTTAAATTTTTGATTCCTAGTTTCCTTGCCCAGTTCGCTGCGTAAAATCAGCAAAGAAAAATCTGCAGGAGTGTGTGCACAACCATCTGTCTGGGCAGCAGCATTCAAAAGAGTGGATTAATGTTTATTAAAGAAACAACCGGTTGGTTACCTATATCCTTTGCATATTGCTTAAAGAATGGCACAAGTCTGACATGCGTAAACACTGCTGGACTCAGGATGAAGGTGTCTTCTTTGACCCACTAAAACAAGGTAGATTTCCTGTGGGAATTTGTTCCTCTTCTTACTTCATAGCACACCTTCTGTATGGAGAGCAAAGCCATCATATTTTCTTCCTTTTACTTTACGTTTTAAGATGAGCATACACTGTATATTTAAAATCATTGTACTCAGTTACAGCGCAAACTGCACAACGAAATAGCAGGGTTTAAAACTTCACAGCTCATGATGCATGTTCTTACACTGTACGGCCTGACGTTATGATGCGATCTACCTGCTCACACTGTACGTCCAAAAAAGAGATGGCGCTGGTAGAAAAACGCCCGTTTGCACCTGCATGAGGTTCTGGTAAATCGGTTTGCAGCTCTGCTTGAACAGCAGGATTTGACCACGAACACCTCACAAACTGGATTGATTTTCTTACAACCTTATGATTCCTGGTCTGGAGGTGGTATGGAGAGGCTAATCACCCCTTGTTAACCCCTGTATAACATACGACACAGGAAGCATGATGAGGCTGAAAATCGCCCTGATCCAAAAAATTCTTACATGACTGCAGAATCGGCCCGAAAAGGGTAAAAACTCGTACAGTGCATGTCCACCATTAACAGATTACCTACTAGATTTTCTACACCTTCTGAATACAATGTTAAGCACTTCTAAACAAGATGTGCCAAACCTATGAATAGTTCCAAGCATAACTTCATCTGTTGTTTACTTTAGTACATTTGGGATCCGTTTTATATACTGTAATAAAACTAAACAAAATGACAGAGTATGAAATCTGATCATGCCTGCATCCACTAAAGTCAAACATCTCTACTTCCACATCCAGTTAAGTGGAGCTGAGATGCAGTAAACGATGCTGGGGAAATAAATTTAGTCAGGATGCTTTTCAGCTGCACTGCTTTTTTCTTCAGCTCAGACACTCATCCCATCATCGCACTGCAGTCAGAATCAGGTAAATAAAATTATAAATTTGTCTTATAGGACATAAGTAACTGCAGCATTAGATGGTACATAGGTGTTAATGTGTTTTTAATAGGGTTTTTAAAAAGAAAGCCCCATAAGAAATTCCAATTCCATGAAAAGATAATTATTTTGATTTATGTTAAGAGTTCTTAGCTTTGATATTTATGTACTGAATATTGCCAAATAGATGGAATGTAACAGAAAGAATTTAGGCTTCACTGAATTTGATCAACTTCACCTCACAATGATTTAACACTTGCATTGGTCTATGACATAAGATCACAATGCAACACAATGAAGTTTGTACTTCTGAGAAACTACAAAGTTTAGTGAGAATACTTCAGAAGGGCAATGTAAATATTCTAAGATTCCATTAGAGGACAAGTGTTACCAGCTGCCGACAAATTATAGGTGAAGCTATAAAGCCTTGATTTGAAGTGTTGCAGTCCCTGACCCAATATCTAGCATGCTAAATATAATAGAGTTGGTGCAGGTTGTTTACTTAGAGGTCGGGAGCAGAAGCAGCTAATAAGAATCAAGAAATAAAAAGAATACTATAGCAAACAAATATACAGCCAGCATGGTGGAGAGTGAAAAACGCAATTTCTGCTCGGAGCCCAAAAGCCTTTTTTATATGTGCATGACTGTAACAGCCTCAGGAGTATAAACGCATGTCAACAAAAGCAGATTAAAACACAAGGAGCTACTTGGATGAAGATGTAACAATGAGAAAAACTTATGTTCAAAAGAACTGAAGTTGATAAAAAAAACAAAAAAAAAAACTAACAAGTCAGAGGCTACAGCTGTTAGGAGACCTTAACAGGAACAATTGACCAGAGGGGAAATTTCTTCAATCAGTGAAAACACCAATACATCAATGCAAGAAATTTGAAGTGATACCAAGCTGGTTAACTCTGCTGCTTGTTCTAGAAACATTATTGCTTTGTTTTACTCTAACATGTATATTGTGATCAACTTAAAAGTTAAACTGGGAACATTCACCACTAGACAGCTCTTAAAGAGGAATAAAACAAAACCTCAATGTCTGAAAAACCTGCATCATAACATAATGACAATTGTAACTAAAATAAATAAAGTATAACATCTGCAAAATGGTGAATCCAAAGGATGCAGTATTTCTTAAGATTTTATATAGTGTATGTGCCTTGTAGACAAATTTGCTGACTTTAAAGCCAGACGACCTTTACTTCCAGTGGTTGAGAATCTAAGACTCAAAAAAACGTGGGTTCATTTCAACTGATTAATTATCTGCAATCATAAGCGGTATTAACCCAATTGATATTGTGCAGCCCTGATCTCCAGCTAAAAACAAGAGAACTTAGGTTAAAGTTGCCATCATGTACACGTATTAGAGGTTCCTTACCATCCTTCCATATGAGGGTGAAGCCCAGCTGGAACATATGACGTGCATAGCTGTCTGCGTGTTTCGGACCGAGGCAGGACAGGAGCTGCGGTGGCACACTGCTTACTGAAGAGTGGACATGGACAGTGGAGAGCACCCGGTAGCGCTGGCACAGCAGGCTATGGAGCACCAGCAGGGTGAGGGGTGGCTGCGCAGGGTTTGCATTGATGACAATGTCACGTAGAGCACCCAGGTCCTAATTGCAGAAAAAAAAAGTTAGTGTGTAGTTATATACCAACACTACTTCCAATATAATAAAGATTAAGCTACTTGGCAGAGACTTTACAAATTCTTGAGAAAATGAAATAAAAGGTACAGTTATGTTAGCTGAAAATGTTGTCATTACATTAATTTGAGGCTATTGCAGTAAATATGCCAACATGGACAAACATGCATTAATTCCTTACCTTCCCCAAAAGTGTGTCTAAGTTTGGACTTCCTTTAAAGATGTCACAACTGGAGCTTTGTGAGGACAGAGTGTTGCCAACCGTTACATCCAGATCTGCGTCTGGGGTCATCACGGTCTTGGCGAGGCCTTCCACGGCTGCCTTTAACTCATACAGCTTTCTTAAGATCTCATCCTGACGGGCCTCCAGAGCCTTAACAGCTGGGTCTACGTCCCCATTCTGGAAAGATGTAAAAAAGGAACTATGCAAAACTGAAGACACTGAGAAAGACAGTCAGACCAAGTGTAAGTGCACACCCACATCCTAGAATAGCTGTGGGGGGAGAAAAAGATAAACAAATCTTAAAGTTTAAAATTCACTTATTACTACCTTACCTAAAACCGTGAAGTTTCAAAAAAGCTTTATACCCAGGAAATTTGGAGCAGATTAATATTCAGCATCAGGGGACAAACAACCAATTAAGATGGTTCCAGAAATCAAAACAAAATTATTCTTAACATTTGCTTACAAATAAGAAAAAAAAAAAACAGATGATGTTTTGAGGACTATTAGAAAATAATTATTTTTAAGTGTATATCACAGGAAGCATCATTAAAGGGAAGCTTTAGATGCTGCACATTAATCCTGGTCTATAGGAGTGTGCAATAAATCAAGATTTTATAGGAAAAAATAAAGCAAATTTTGATCAATCTATTCCTGTGTTCATAAAAAGCGTTTTCCTCAGTGTCTCAGGAAAAAAAACATATTTTCATAAATTCTTCCTTTCCCTTTTAAATATGGCAGGATGGATTTATGCAAACCCTGATATCTATCATGAACACAGCAAACATAACTTTGGAGATCAAGCTAAACAAACTTAATCAGTGTCATATCTGCTTGTTGCAGTTAATTTGGGAAACGACAGGCTGCTCATTTTATCAGCTACTTTTTAGCAGCAGGTGACTCTTTCCTTGTCTACTGTGTTAAATATAATGTAGGCTATGTATGAAACAGTCATGAAGTTGACTTAAAATATATAAAAGGATGATCAAGCATATGATAATAACATGCTCCTTTTTAATCACAATTTCATTTCTATATTATTTTTCAATAAATCTCTGCTATTCGTTGTTTAACATGTTTATGACATCCAGTCCCCTGATCAGGAAGCTAACTTTGCTGAGCATAACGCTAACATTAATCGGAACATAACAGAACTAAAATAAAAATATGTAACAGCCAGGGGTCACAGAGGAGGCAATAGATCCTGACTGAAACTAAACCAGCGGTTACCTGGAGCGCGTGGTCCGGGCTGCAGCTGTTCTCCTGCCTCGTGTGGATATTCGGTAACTTGTACATGCAGGTGGGCAAATCAATCTTTATTTCCGGACAGACGGTCTTTACCTGGTACATGGACATGGCGGAGGACAACCGGAGCAGTGCCGAGGACAAACAGTTAAAACATAAAACACAAATATCCTCTAAAGAGGTGTGATGTTGACAGGCAGCTAATGCTGCTGCTGCTGCTGCTGCTGCTGCTAACGGCTAGACCGGAAATAGAGGCCCATGTGACGTCACGTCCGGTGAATAAAAACTTCTTAAAAACGTATTTTATTTATTTATTTAATTAATTTAATTTAATATTTTAATTTATTAAAAACGTCTTAATAAATTTTGCAGTACTGTAGCAAATGTATATGGAAAGTGGTAGGTAATATTTATATTTTTTAATCTAAATGATACATGCTATAATTTATTAAATTAGTTTTACTATTAAAATACTTTGTAAAATTCGGTATTTTATTTTAAATACACTCTTGTTCAAATGAATTTTAAATGTACATTTCTAAGCGAATATCTCTCTATTAAAAAAAAAAAAAAAAAGAATTTGGTGGGGTTGTGAAACAAGAATTTGGATTGAATTAATATTTACCCTGGTTCATATGTTTTGTTTTGTTTTTTTCTCATAGAAATGTTACTTTCAAGAGAACTTGAGATTCATAAGATAAACTACTTAACTAAGTGAAATAGCTAATGCTTATTCCAATATAGTCAATAAAAGAAGCAGGCCTAATCAAAAAATATTAAAATAATTGAGGTAAAATAATAATAATAATCAATTCCTTCTTAATTGCTCAGATAGTGTTTGTTCCAATTGCCTGATTTATGATGTGATCAGACAAAATGTTACTATGCAAATTCTTGTATGAAAAAAAAATCTAAGAAAAGTTTACAAAAAAAAAGATATAAGAAAGAATCTCTTTTTTGCCACGTAAATATTTTGAAGCCTGCTATAGATGTAAATTATTCCTGAATAATACGAAGCACCTTTACTAACTAATACCGCTGAATCATGACATCAGTAAAACAAACACAAGAGGGCGCCATTCTATTATTTAAGTTTTTTCCTCCCAGCAGTGTTGAGGTTTTACAGCGACAGATAATTATGTACAATTATTTGAACATTTAACAAATTTTGCTTAAAACATAGTAGTTCCATAAGTTTATGAAATTATAATACTAACCTACCAATTTAAGTGGGTAATTAAGTAAAAAACAAATTAATTTATTCTGCTAAAATAAGGATTTCTGTTGAAATGAGTTTAATAAGATATAAACTGTGAAGGTGAGGTTTCACTGCATGTACTCCAGTTATTCCCATTATTGGCCACCCATATCCATTAAATATAATGTTTAGAAAAATTAGGGTATTTTAAAATCTCTTATCTTATGTTGTATGGAAAACTGACCTGACTTTACTTTTGGATGGTCAGAGTTCAGTATTAGCAATAAAAAAAAATCTGTTTTGTTAGTTAGTTTGGTTATTTCTAGTCTCAGGGCAAGATATGTGATACGATGTAGAAATCTTTGTATCTGGAGAGTTGTATTTACATTTTACATTTAATTCACATCTTACAGCAGTAATCTGTGCAAGAAATTAAATTTAATTCTGGACAAACGTTTCCATTAAGCCTTTAGTTGTTGCATATTATTTATTGCATATTTTTAAGATATGAAATTGTTTCTTTTAAAGAAGTACTTGAATACTGCTTAGATTTAGAGTCTTTTTCTCAATTTTTGTTGTTCCTTTTTTATATTGCATTAATTTTATAAAAACAGCAAACAATATAGCTACAAATAATTGTAGAAATGGAATTTGACACTATAGGTTTTCATCAAGTAGACATTGAAATAATTTTATAATTGCTTTACTGACAAATAGAGTTGAGAGCAAAAAAAAAAAACTTTTATTAGAAATCTCTCAGTTTGTTTCCATTTAGTGGGTTAAAATGGATATACAGATTTGTTGGTTTTTGGAAATGAAACATTACATGTTCCATTTGGGAAAAGTGAAAGTAAATCAATATTAAAAAAAAAAGGAGTAGAAGTATAGCATGAAAGGTGTAATTAAGACACGAAAGAAAAAGTTTATAACAAAAAAAAAATCTTTATTAGTAATGACAAAGAACATTAGAGAAAAAGTGATGATATTACAGGCAAATCATACGTTTCATAACAATCTTCTTTATAAATTGCAGGAAAATATAAATGAAATGTTTGAGGTTGTGGAAAAAAATGTAATGTAGAACATACACCAATTAAATATGTGGCATATTTCGATGAAACAGAGATGCTAAAGAAAACTAAAAAAAAAAAACAGGATTAGAATGGAGAATGAAAGGTATCATGGGAGAAGTGCAGATAAAGAAGAATTAAAAAATGAAAGAAAAGCATTATTCCCATGTCTGTAGAATGCAAAACACAAAAAAATTAATTTAGTGGCGGTTGTGGAGTTACATACAATACGTACAATAGGTGGCAGTATTCACCTTAAAGCTATTTCCAATCTGTCAATAAAGGAAAAGAAGAAGCTACTAATTAAAATGTTATGCTCAGTGCTGCTGCAAATCTTATAAATACATGTATGATATTTGAGCCAGCAAATAAATGCATAGAGAGTAAATATGTGATAGAGGAGTTATATTGGTAAACTTCTGTGCCACATCTTGCTCCTCTGCACCTGAGATCTGAGGAGGCTAGTAGAAATGTCCATGATTAGGTCTAACGTTGCACTAGCTTGTTAACTCTAAATTATTCACATTCAACTGAGTTAGCAGGAGTTTGTGGTTTTCTTAGCTTACATTTACATTTTGTAGAGCAGCGATGATTTCCAGAGGGTCAACCAGCACAAAAGGACAGAGAAAGACTTTGATTAGACACACCATCGACAATACCTAATAATTATTAAATCAACCAAGTTATCTAGGTGTGCTAAAAATAATTACATAGATTTTTTAACAGATGGTAAAGCTAGTTGTAGTGATCTGATTGTTTATGAAATAGCCACTGGGGTTTTTGCGAACATCCATCTACAGGGTTTTACAGAAAATATTCCTTAAAAATAGAAATAATCCAGTGGGGAAGACAAAAAAAAAACTTGCTGAATATAGTAGGTTTAAAAAGACAAGGATCAACAATCATTACATTATGCAAACTCAACACTGCAACACTCAAAAGGTTGGGGCATAATTTGTTGTACACCTTAAAGAATGTACCCCCTCTCCCTTAGGTATATGTAGATGATAGTCTTGTGTAATTTTGGATGAACAGAGTATCGGTGCTGGGTGTCCAACCACTTTCCATCTCTTTACTATATAGCCAACATTGAATGGCAAATTTTACTACAATTATCCAAAGCTTAAAACATCTTAAACTGGTTCCTTGGAGAAACATTTATTTCACTGTACTGAAATGACCTCCACCGTCACCAGCTTTCAGTACAACTGAACAACCTCTTTATTTAAATGTACTGGAGATTTACATCCTGGATATGCAGATAATAAATCTGCTAAAGTTGTGTGATGTGTCATGTTAAAATAGACACCTTGCTGCAGCGATGAAGGCTAAACCTGCTCCTAGCAAGATCAATATTGTTTTTTACAAGAAGAATTCTAATATCATTTGTTGTAATATTTGTTAATGAAAATGTCAAAATGCTTTAAGCTATACTCAGGTTTTAGTCGCAGACTCTTTTTAATCATAGGCATGTTTGGATGAACTAACACTCATGACTATATTGTCCATGAGTAAACCATGAGCAAACCTCTCTAACCAGACAGATTGCCTCCATTTTTCAGTAAGTAAGGCAGAATAAGTTTGTCATGGAAGACGATTGCCACCTTGTCCTATTTGTGCCTTCTCATTTGGAAAAGTCTGCAAAGTACCGGTCTCCTGCTTCATGACAGCCATTACCGAGTCTGAGGATGCGTCAGCACATGTAACAGCTGCTCAGGGCTTTAAACAGGGTGTGGCGTATAAGTTCATGTTGCAAACGTGCAGCAGTCTATCTAACAGACACCTCTTGAATCACATTAGACAACTGATCATTTGCTTCCACGAAAAACAACTGACTCAGCGCAAAATACATTTTAAGAAATCACCTTCCACGAATGTCCTGTGTGTTTTGAAGAATGGTCAGTGATACACATGTGATCCATCATTCATAAATAATGAAGGGAATCTACACGCATACATCATAAGAAGAGGCTCAGCTTGAATGAGAGGAGAGGCAGAGCTGTCATCCTCTGCATTATGGATAGAGTTCCTATGAAGAGCCCCATTCAGGCGTCATAGCATGGCGGTGAAATGTTTTACACTGTTTCACTGTGCACACAGTATCAGGTAGCATTATCGCTGATAGTTTGGTGGAAAAGAGTGAAAATGCTTCGTATTTTTCAGCCTTCCTGGTTTGCATGAACACATCCGCTTGTTACCAGCTAAAGATGGGAGGTGCATTAAAGTTTCAGGCAAACTTAATCAGTAAGATGAGCCGGACACTCCTTTCTTGATATGAGTTTTTAGTGACAATGAAACTAGGCCATCAATAATTGAGGTACGACACAGACAATCAGGATAGGCATTTGTGTCAATCAGCACAGTTGTGAGAATCCAAAAGGCTAATCCAGAGAAAAAGCACTCTATATTATTAACAGTTGCATGAAATGTTTGAATAAACTGAAAAAAGCCCTGCAATTGTCAAAAAAATAAGTTCTAGATTTTTCTAGCTGTTCTTTACAGAATACATGAGAAAAAAGCGTACTTACAAGATACTTTTATTTAACGAGTATTTACTGTTTTTAGCTTTGTGAAAACAATCTATTCGTCTTGTAAGGAGCTTTTGGATGATTTTTGTTGTTCATTTTTTCACAACTATCCTGAGTTGAGAAACATAAAAAAAAAGAATCTAAGTGTATATGACAAAAATATAAATTAATCATTAGTCATGAAGATGATTAATTAACAACCATTTTAAGTAATAAGGAGACAAATGGTGCCTCAAGCTGCCAAGAAATTAAAATCTTTAGTCAAACACAGATAACAAAGAAAACGTATGATTCCTTAGTCTAATCTAGTGCTTAAATGTATTCTATGGAGAGCCTATGTATTGAAAAGATAAATGTTTTAAACATTTTTCAATAAAGCGGAATACATCCAAAATATTTTTGACTATAAAGTACATCAAAA